ATATATATATATATATATATATATATATATATATATATATATATATATATATATATACTTGTTTCATTACAGCCAGTTTCTGAAATCAAATGGTTCTTGTGCATATGCGTCTTTATTTTTTGCTAGGCCAACCCTACATTCGTCTCCGTGGTTCAAATATACCTCTTGAAGGTCTTGTTGAAGTCTTTCACCTAGGGACCTGGGGCACAGTGTGTGATTACAACAATGAGATCTTCGCGACGAGTGCTCGAGTGGTATGCCGGGAACTCGGTTTTTACGATGCGATAAAGCAACGTTGGAGGCGTCAGATCGCCAGTGGAAAGATTTGGTTAGAAGCTGTGAAATGTCGGGGTGACGAGAAATCCTTGGTATTTTGTTCGCATAATAACTGGAAGAATGCTGGTTGTAGCCATTATTGGGATAGATACGTTAAATGTAAGTACGTGCGTATCTTGGGGAGGAAAAATTATTTACTGAATCGGAGTAGCAGAATGCCACTCGCTTATTACTAAAGGATATTGATCATACCAAATACATGCTGACAGTGTACTCTAAAAACACCATACTCAAAAGTTTCTGGTTAACCTAAATTAACACTGTTTGGGGTATTTAATGTTCCAGGTTAAATTTTCTGCTTATAATTTAACCACAGCCCTAGCTATTTAACCAAAATTCCTGAATGCCTGGTTATTATTCCAGCTGACATAGTCTGATTAATTCAACCATATAGCCTGGTTAAATAACCAGGAATCCTGGCTAAATCACGACGGTTCTCCTAACTGAGGGAATTTATGTGATGTTATGACAACGATATATGTTGTTGATTCCATTGTACTTTTCTTTTGAAGACAATATACAATTTTCAGAAGAATACATCCTTTCGATAATTACGTCGCGACAACTTCTTTGACCCAGCAGCCTTGTTTTATGAATTAAGACAACAAGACAATTCGCTGAGGGTACATGAAAATTAGGCTCCTATGATAAGGAAAGATATGTGATCTAATTACCACAAAGGTGCACTGTATTTACCAAAATGGTTTGAAGAAACAAGATCTTAAATTGTTTTTAGGTTCTATTTGTTCAAATGGCCTCCTCGAAAATATTACCGCGTTCCCAGACTCTGTCTTTGGTGCAAGTGCAGCACGGTTTCCAGACTTCGGCCCCTGTTCCGCGCGGTTGTACAGCTCTCAGCCTTGGTGCTTACCTCCAAACCACACTGATGAAAATCAATTCCTCGAGATTAGTTTAACAAGAATTTTCTCCCTATCGACAGTAGCTACCGCTGGTGGAGATTTGGGATATGTGACGTCATATATGCTGTCTTACATGGTCAGCGGATATTCGTGGAAGTATGCTGCTGTTGGGGCAAAACAGGTTAGGATTTCTTATACGGAATTTGGATTTTTCTTGGAAAACATATTTAAGAAGAAAGCGCAATAGCTACAGTAGTAGAAATTAAAGAATGGTAGTTACACACCCTGCATGGTTAACCCTGGGTAAACTAGGAAACAATTTAGCGATTACATTTCAACATTCTGATATTTCCTTGAATGTTTTCCGTTTGTCACTTGCCTTGGAAACATTGGTAGGGGTAAAATATTTGTTTCCCAGAAAGCTTAAATGGTTTCGTTAAAAAATTTTCAGTTTTCCCACCTTCGGGAAAATAACTAGCAAAGAGTTTCTCCACCTTAGAACCACGTGACTTGGAGAAACTGCTACCTTCCCCACTCATCTTCGGGAATCATGTCTAAGTAACAATGTGTCTTGGTTTGCCCATCTTCAGGAAACATATCGTTGACGGGAGGGGGCAGTCAAACTACCTGATATTTTTAAAGGAGTTTGGGGAGGGGGTTAATCGGGAGTATCGGGTGAACATAGAATAAATTAATATTTAGATCGTCAGAGGGCCTGGAAATGCAGTTAAAGTTTTGAATTTTTAACTTGCTTCACTTTCAACTTCCACGTTTGCCTGTCAATGCTCTTATAATCAGTTACTTGAAATTTAGCTCAAATCACCTCTAAATTTACCTGCAATTACTCGTAAACAACCCCACACACTCCCAGATTACTACGTCCCTGAACACGATTATGAATTAATATTTCCTGGTTTGCTCACGTCCGGGAAACATGGCTTGGATCAAATATATCTTTCCATTAAGAATTTTTCTAATTTAAATTTTACTTTCAACTTTTTAATTAAGCAAATCTCTTAAGGTGGAAACTTGGACCAGTTTCCCATTTGAGTAATAGTTAGAAGTGTTCTTCGTTTCGTTTCATTTCAGCTAATATTTGGCAATAATAATGGCGAAACACACAATGTCATCAGAAGAGATCTAGATAATGCAATTCACGCACAAAGAGTGAGATTTATTCCTAAAACATGGCAGCATATTCCCTGTATGCGGGTGGAACTATGTGGAAGAGGTTAGAAAAAATACTGTCATTTAATTCATTATGTCATTAATATCGATTATTTTCTATTTTTGCATTCCATTTGCCATATCAATTGAAATACACGAGCGTTGCGTGCCATTGCATGCCTCGTTCTTTAAAACGTCATTTTAGTCGTGGATTCCTGGAATAGTGAAGTTTACGAATTCAAGCAGTCTTGCGTTAATAATTAAAACAGATTTATAAAAGATCGACGCAGTTGACTGACAATAGACCTATAATATACTCGGCGCATGACTTTAAATTATGAGCGAACGAATTACTGATGGCGGGGGGAATGAAGGGATTCTCAATACTATGAATACACAATGCAAGATTTCGATCATTGGATCGTAACTTGATGGCACAGTTAGTGCGTTATGTGCTTTGCAAAAGGCCATTCCTTGCGACTCACATCCTTCGACTATAATTAGGCCTATATAGATTGTGTTCGGCAACTTATTAGCAAATTTTCGAGATTTGAGCAACTTGTTGCTTTTCGAGCAATCGAGGAACTTTTCCTTCCAGAAGAAAAGTTGCATTGCTTCAATTTCTAACATGTTTATCCATAATAAAATGGATACTCTTTTTGAAATTTGGGAGCAACTTTTACTCAATTATAATTCAGTAGAACAATCGATCAAGGCCTACAACTGATCCCATTTCATCCGTTTAAAAGATAAATATATAGTTATTCTAAAACATTTAATTTAGAAATAGCTCGATGTAATCCGCAAAACGTCACGACTGAAAACCTAACTTCAAGTTCAGTATTAATATCTTGGCTCTCCCTACGTGTTTCCACCAAAACCAAGACTCTACACAAGAACTATTCGGTAACTATAACAAGCGATGTAGACCAACACATCCTGCAGAATTATAACATCACTGAACTAACGTTTCTGTTCATAACAAACCTGATTCCATATCATCGTTATACATACATAGTAAAAGCTATTGGTCTGGAAGAGTGTTTTGAGGAAGACTTAAAGCTTTATTTTCAAACCAAACAAGCTGGTAAGTAATTTTCAGTTTTAAAACAGTTCCTCTTACGTCGTACGAATATTCATTATATTACTGAAAAATATCAATTATAATAAATTTATAACGTCATCCACCATATATGAGCTATTCTACAACCTGATACTGTAGCCCTTCCCTATTCTGATTGGTTTGTTGAGCTATTTTATTATTATTATTATACAGTATTAGATACTCCCAATTGGGCTTTTCAGGATCTAATTACAAATATGAAATTCTATATCTAAAATATCTAAAAACTAATTTTGAGTTTTGACCTAAGGTATAACATATAGTTCTAAAATATTCTATAAATCTGTTAAAAAAACCACTTTCAGTTAAGAATTCTTCTAATAACATACAAATGTTTGTATTCTACTTTAAATTGAGTCAAACTATCAAATTTTTTTTAAAGACTGAGGTAGAGAATTCCTCAAGGACACAGCCCTATAATGAAATGTTCGTTAACCAGCAGTTGATCTGTACATTGGAATATCCAAAACCTTCTTTTGCCTTGTATTAACGTCATGAACATCTGACCTGACATGAAACTTCTCACACAAATATGATGGTGCCAACCCCTTCAGGCATTTGAACGCAAAAATGGCTTCTCTTAATTTAATTTTAACATATATTTGATTGGAAGCCAGCCCAGTTGTTGCAGAACAGGAGTCACGTGATCGTATTTTCTTGTTCCGGTAAAATACGTGCAGCAAAGTTCTGGACCGCTTGAAGCTTTTAAATATTTCTTTGGGATGTAGGCTATTAGACCAAACAGCAGAGCAGTAATACATTTTACTAAAAATCAGGGAGTTTATAATAAGAATTAATGTTTTTCTGACAAAGATATGTTTAACTCTGCTAATTTGACCCAATTCCGCGATAGAAGATGAAACAACGCTTGCGATATGTAATTCATCGTAGCACAAACATGCACGAGTCCAATATCATCCCTAAATCCTTTGCAACAGCAACTTGGGTAATAATCTCACCAAGGATATATGAAAATTATATGAAAATGTCCAGGTACTTGTTCTAACATTTGCCTAATATCTAATATAAGCATCTTAGTTTTTTTTTGGATTCGCCAACAAACTGTTAAGAGAGCACCAGGCGGAAATGTCTTATGTGAGTTTCATAGCTGCCATCTCGGCATCCCCGATATATATATATATATATATATATATATATATATATATATATATATATATATATATATATTATACAAAATAAAGGCCACGACCAAAAGAAATTAGAATATATAATTCAAAAATTTTAAATTTTCGACTGCATGTAACAGCCTTCGTCAGAAACTAAGTACAAACTAAATCAAATAAGTCTCTTATATATCCTATGTGTAAACTAATTAGAAATTCTAATTACAAGATAGTAAATACAAATGCATTGGTACTATTGTTGCACGAAGTCGTGATGACCATTAAGTCCCCCCTGGTTGGTTAACAAGGTACCAATCCAGAAATTCTCACATTCTCTAAGAGTGTGATGACTTTGATCAATCAACATAAATTTTAAACTAGAGTGGTCAGCACCATGCATGGCAATCCAAAAAATGATTGACAATAGCAATTGTCTTTGTCTATCACTAAGCTTAATTAGTTATCATTATTGTAATATTTGCATATTATTGGTGTATATATATACGTTAGAAATTATTAGTAATATTATTTCTGAGGAAGGCTGAGACATTCAGTCGAAAATTAAAACTTTATTACTTTAATACATTTTTAGTATTGGTTTCTCTCGGATCGTAGCCAGCTATTCTGTTGTATATAAATGTTGAACTGGCTGATACGAATATTGTATTTTGTCATCTATATATATATAAGACCTAAGACTTAAGACCTTTCTTTTTAAAAAGGCATTTATCTTTAAATATAATAGTAAATTTGAACTTCCCGCTGACATTCGTGAGGCGTAAACAGTGGAAACTTTTAAATACAGACTTAAGACCTTCCTTTTTTAAAACGGCATTTTATCTTTAAATATAATAGTAAATTTTAAACATGTATATATAGGTATCATCTCATACTTTATAACATTTTATTTGAATTTGTAATGATAGCGCTTTAGAACATTTATAGTTTTTAGCGCTTTATAAATTAATAAATTATTTATTATTATTATATATATATATATATATATATATATATATATATATATATATATATATATATATATATATATATATATATATATATATATATATATATATATGACAAAATACAATATTCGTATCAGCCAGTTCGACATTTATATACAACAGAATAGCTGGCTACGATCCGAGAGAAACCAATACTAAAAATGTACTAAAGTAATAAAGTTTTAATTTTCGACTGAATGTCTCAGCCTTCCTCAGAAATAATATTACTAATAATTTCTAACGTATATATATACACCAATAATATGCAAATATTACAATAATGATAACTAATTAAGCTTAGTGATAGACAAAGAAGTCACTGTTGCACAAAATCATGACTATCATTTAACCCTCCCCGATTAGTCAAAAGGGTCCCAATCCAGAAGTTTTCACATTCCAACAGATTACCACAACGCTGATCAATTAGCATAAATTTCAAATATGAATGATCAGCCCCGTGGCAATCCAGGAAGTGATTAACAATACTACAAGTTCTGTGCCCACGCTTAATGTGTGACTTGTAGTTTGCAAGGCGGGCCTTAAAATTAACAGTAGAACCAACACCCTGTAAACCACAAGCCAAACATTCGGCAAGATATACCACTGCCTTGGACGTACATGCATGTAAGCGATTTACAGATTTTAGAAACTTTCTTGGTAATAACGGAACGAAAAGTGTGCCCTTCTAACAAAAAATTCTTACAGCAGTCACAACGCTTTGCTGTACAATTAAAACAACCGAATTGTTCTACTTCAGTATTTTCCTTGCCATATGGGTTGGAGGGAGCCAATAACTCCTTTAAATTGGCGTTGCGCTTAAAAGACACACGAATAACCTTCTCGGGTAGAATATCTCTAGCCTTCTCATCACCACAGATAATGGACTTGTGATGTTTATTTATGATTTTTCGTATGTCTGGTCCACGCGGATTATACTTAGTAACTAAACAACAATATCCTTCATTGGACTTATTCTTACTTTTGCGTGCATCTTCCCTAGAAATTTTACCTACTTCCCTAAATTTATCTAAGACATGTTCTTTTTCGTGTCCGCATTCAATTAAATAATTGGCATATTCCGCACTTTTGGCACGAAAGTCCTCTTCCTTGGAGCATATCCTACGTAGTCTAAGCGCTACACCCTTTGCGATACCCAGTATCTGTGATCTGGGGTGACACGAATTGCCATTCAGATATAAATGCGCATCAGTGGGTTTACTATAAACCGACGTTTCCAAACGACCTTCTTCGATCGTAATAAAAAGGTCCAGAAAACTCAAAGAACTCCCGCCTACTTCCATAGTAAATTGTAAATAGGAGTCGAATGAATTTAATGTATTGAAAAAACTGTGCAGTCTTTCCACCGTACCACGCCAAAGTGCAAATGTGTCGTCCCGAAAACGAAACCAGGATCGCAATTCAGGGTACAACGCCTTAGACTCTAAAACCTTTTTATCGATGTTCTCCGCTACAATATCTGCATAGGAACAAGAATTTTTAGGTCCCATGGCAGTACCATTCTTTTGAAGCCAAAATTGTCCACGGTAAGTAGAACAATTTTTCTTCAAACAAATTTCTAATGCCTCAATAATGCATTCAACAGGCAGATCCAAACTATCCGAGAATTTCGTTAATTTGCAACGAACTCTCTCTACCCCCGTGTCATTATCTATAGAAGGAAACATGTTGATAATATCAAAACTCACCAACATGTCTCCGTCTAATATTCCTTTTTCATTGAGACTATCAATTATCCCCAGCATGTGCGAAGTATCCCTTACACGGCAAGAAATGGAATCCACTACAACTTTACAATACTTTTCCACAAACAGAGACAAATTCTCCGTGGGAGTACCACAGCCAGAAGTTATAACTCTAGCTGGGTTGTTGACCTTATGTGTTTTTATCAAGGGATAATTCACACCTGGGTGAGCATTGGTATTCTCAGTAATAAATTCAATCCACTTATCTGATAATCCCCAAGGCTTCCACTTATCTACCCACTTGTCAATTTCTACAATAGTTTTTTGCGAAGGATCTTCGCTTAAAACTTCAAAAGAACTCCAGTCCATCTGTTCCTTCACTTTTCTCTGATCTAATTCACTGTTTAAAAACACAAAATTGTTACCTTTATCTTGTATTCGTATGACCGAATTACGTTTCTCCACTGGTGTAGAACGAAATTCTTTCAAAGCCTTTCTTTCTTCCGGTGTTACATTATCAGGAACATTCTTAAACGCAGTTTCTTTAAACAGATCTTTCTCAACACGGTCGAGAAACACTTCAATTGCAGAAACTCCAGCCAATGGAGGGTCTTTAGTCGACTTTCGTCTGGGTGGATTCAAAATGTTTTCGTCGCGTGTCCCTGGTTTATCATGGGAATGAAAGAATGCCCGCCATCTCACCTTCTTTGTAAATTGCAGCCAATTTTGCTGTAAATCATTCCAATCTACACTAACTGGTGTAGGAACAAACGATGGGCCTCTTTTGCAAAGTTCTGCTAATGCTGGATTAATCGGTACCTCGGTAAGATTGATTGGTTGATGTCTCGCTTGAGCGGTAGAGTTTGCTGCTGTTGTTGGGTTGCAAATGCTGGTGTTGTTTCCAAGCGTAGGTTGAATGTTATCACGACATACTTTTGTAACCGCTTTCTCTCATTGATGTCGTTGAATTTCTTAGTCCTTTCTTCTAATTTCTGCAAGATATGACTTTCTTCCAACGGATATTGTTCTCTCAAAGTGCACAACCTCCATGTTTCTTGTTTCTTTAACATTAGCTGTTTATGTTTATAAAATCCTTTAAAAGCACTCATAAGTTTGAATGAACATGTTTTGAGTATTGATTTAACTCTTAACTGCAGATCTGCGTCGACCGTTCCAGAGTGAAACTTTAACTGAAATCCTCTAGGAACCACTTTCCGAGTTTGATAATGCGTAAGCAGTGTAATATGGTGTTGAAACCGAAGCGATTTCTCGCGGCATGAAAATAAACCATTAATTAAAAACCTAACATTATTCCCTTCGAATCGCTTCATGGATAACGAATAAAGTAGGACTATATAGATGACAAAATACAATATTCGTATCAGCCAGTTCGACATTTATATACAACAGAATAGCTGGCTACGATCCGAGAGAAACCAATACTAAAAATGTACTAAAGTAATAAAGTTTTAATTTTCGACTGAATGTCTCAGCCTTCCTCAGAAATAATATTACTAATAATTTCTAACATATATATATATATATATACACCAATAATATGCAAATATTACAATAATGATAACTAATTAAGCTTAGTGATAGACAAAGAAGTCACTGTTGCACAAAATCATGACTATCATTTAACCCTCCCCGATTAGTCAAAAGGGTCCCAATCCAGAAGTTTTCACATTCCAACAGATTACCACAACGCTGATCAATCAGCATAAATTTCAAATATGAATGATCAGCCCCGTGGCAATCCAGGAAGTGATTAACAATACTACAAGTTCTGTGCCCACGCTTAATGTGTGACTTGTAGTTTGCTTGTTCTGGCTGTGGTACTCCCACGGAGAATTTGTCTCTGTTTGTGGAAAAGTATTGTAAAGTTGTAGTGGATTCTATTTCTTGCCGTGTAAGGGATACTTCGCACATGCTGGGGATAATTGATAGTCTCAATGAAAAAGGAATATTAGACGGAGACATGTTGGTGAGTTTTGATATTATCAACATGTTTCCTTCTATAGATAATGACACGGGGGTAGAGAGAGTTCGTTGCAAATTAACGGAATTCTCGGATAGTTTGGATCTGCCTGTTGAATGCATTATTGAGGCATTAGAAATTTGTTTGAAGAAAAATTGTTCTACTTACCGTGGACAATTTTGGCTTCAAAAGAATGGTACTGCTATGGGACCTAAAAATTCTTGTTCCTATGCAGATATTGTAGCGGAGAATATCGATAAAAAGGTTTTAGAGTCTAAGGCGTTGTACCCTGAATTGCGATCCTGGTTTCGTTTTCGGGACGACACATTTGCACTTTGGCGTGGTACGGTGGAAAGACTGCACAGTTTTTTCAATACATTAAATTCATTCGACTCCTATTTACAATTTACTATGGAAGTAGGCGGGAGTTCTTTGAGTTTTCTGGACCTCTTTATTACGATCGAAGAAGGTCGTTTGGAAACGTCGGTTTATAGTAAACCCACCGATGCGCATTTGTACCTGAATGGCAATTCGTGTCACCCCAGATCACAGATACTGGGTATCGCAAAGGGTGTAGCGCTTAGACTACGTAGGATATGCTCCAAGGAAGAGGACTTTCGTGCCAAAAGTGCGGAATATGCTAATTATTTAATTGAATGCGGACACGAAAAAGAACATGTCTTAGATAAATTTAAGGAAGTAGGTAAAATTTCTAGGGCAGATGCACGCAAAAGTAAGAAAAAGTCCAATGAAGGATATTGTTGTTTAGTTACTAAGTATAATCCGCGTGGACCAGACATACGAAAAATCATAAATAAACATCACAAGTCCATTATCTGTGGTGATGAGAAGGCCAGAGATATTCTACCCGAGAAGGTTATTCGTGTGTCTTTTAAGCGCAACGCCAATTTAAAGGAGTTATTGGCTCCCTCCAACCCATATGGCAAGGAAAATACTGAAGTAGGACAATTCGGTTGTTTTAATTGTACAGCTAAGCGTTGTGACTGCTGTAAGAATTTTTTGTTAGAAGGGCACACTTTTCGTTCCGTTATTACCAAGAAAGTTTTTAAAATCTGTAAATCGCTTACATGTACGTCCAAGGCAGTGGTATATCTTGCCGAATGTTTGGCTTGTGGTTTGCAGGGTGTTGGTTCTACTGTTAATTTTAAGGCCCGCCTTGCAAACTACAAGTCACACATTAAGCGTGGGCACAGAACTTGTAGTATTGTTAATCACTTCCTGGATTGCCACGGGGCTGATCATTCATATTTGAAATTTATGCTGATTGATCAGCGTTGTGGTAATCTGTTGGAATGTGAAAACTTCTGGATTGGGACCCTTTTGACTAATCGGGGAGGGTTAAATGATAGTCATGATTTTGTGCAACAGTAACTTCTTTGTCTATCACTAAGCTTAATTAGTTATCATTATTGTAATATTTGCATATTATTGGTGTATATATATACGTCAGAAATTATTAGTAATATTATTTCTGAGGAAGGCTGAGACATTCAGTCGAAAATTAAAACTTTATTACTTTAGTACATTTTTAGTATTGGTTTCTCTCGGATCGTAGCCAGCTATTCTGTTGTATATATATATATATATATATATATATATATATATATATATATATATATATATATATATATATATATATATATATATATATATATATATATGTAGATATATAGGCTTTATGGTTAAGGGAACAATTCATGGTCCATTTCCCACAGTAAGTTAGTTTAAAATGATAATGTGTATCGTCTTATGATAGACATTATATTTCTGAAAACGAATGTTTACCTGCATGGAACGAAATTTGCAGAGATTCATGTCGATGCATGATTAGTATAATTTTCATGCTGGTCAACCGACTCACGCACGACTGAAGCAACGTAGGCTATAGCGACAGTATCTATGCCATGATTTTGTCGCGTACTTCATTTGTCTATATTATAAGAGCTACACAATAGCTTGTTGTAAAAGAGGTATTGGTATAATCAGTAAATTAAAAGTATACCATCTTATCATTCACTTTTTATCTGTTGTGGACACCGACGCGCGGATGCCAGACTGTGGCAATAGCTCTTCTCTAGTAAAGCGCATGTATATGAGTTGGAAAACACTTATCTGAAGGTAGTCAAAAGTTTTCTGCATGTTTATAATATATTTCGACAAAAGCGAGCTTTACTAGAGGCTGGGCAAATAGTTTATAGAGGAGTGGCAACATGGAGGCTGGGTGGAGATTTTGCTCCTCCGCTTTGTATGATAAAAAGGCCCTGTTATAAACACATTAGTATAGCATATGTCGACGAACTAGTATACTAGGTAAAATTAGTTTCAATGGACTCACATTTCTTTTTCACCAGTTTTGACGTTTGAACCAGTTCGGTTTGTCTACCTGTTTCTAGCATTGAGAATGGACAGTTTATTAAAAGACAGTTAGTGGATAGGTTTTTTTGTTATACGTAATTATTAGGCACCACTATACAACTGTAAAATTACATTATTTTATTTTTGTCTTTTATTGCAGTTTCGGGAAAAAATTGTGCCAGTTTATATAAAGCCGGACAAAGGTTTGATGGTGTATATACAATCAATCCAGATGGCTTGGGATCTTTTCGAGTTATGTGTGACATGCAAACAGACGGCGGAGGCTGGACAGTGTTTCAAAGAAGACAAGACGCAAGTGTGGATTTTTATCGCGGTTGGCAAGATTATAAATATGGTTTTGGTGATTTGAACGGAAATTTCTGGCTTGGGTTGGAAAAAATACATCGTTTGACAAAATCTGATCAAAATATCCTAAGAGTTGACTTGATCAATTTTAACTACGAAAAGGCCTACGCAAAGTATGGAACTTTTTCGGTGGCTTCTAAATCTGAAAGTTATAAACTGAAAGTTGGCAGCTTTTCAGGTAAATATGATCATAGAGATATAATTGATAAATTATATGCCATATATACATCAATTTAACGTTAACATTATTAGAAGATGTTGAGCAGGATATGAAGAATTATTAAGGCCGAAGTTTGTATTTTAAGCTGAGGCCCTGATCTCGCTAATGGATGATCCAGGGCCTTTTTTAAGGATTTTCCCGTGGGAGGGGGCATTTTTTGAAAAGGGACCTTTCCGAGAGATAATATATTAGAGGGGGATAGCAATGGGTGAAGGCTACGTGTATGAATGCATGGGGTTCTGGGGGCATACTCCCCCAGAAATGTTTTGAAATTTGAAGCGCGGAAATGCCATTTTCTGCATTCTGAGCATCCAAATTTACTCCAAAATTTATGCTATCACTAAAATTGTATTTGAAATAAAAGAAGGAAAAAATGCCCAAAAATATTTAAAATTAACCGTAATTGATCATTACTTATTAGAGGGGGATAGCAATGGCTGAAGGCCACTTGTGTGGGGCATACTCCCCAGAAAATATTTGAAATTTGGAACCCTGAAATGCCATTTCCTGCATTCTGAGCATCCAAAAAATAAAATAATTATTAACAATAATTTGTCGTTAATTAGTGGTAGAAAAACGTAACAATTTAAATCGATTTTGTTAAACAAGGGCAAAGGATAAGGCTTAAAATTTAATTTCCGTTTATCTATTTGTTATTCTTCACTCGTTTGTTTGTATAAATTTAGGAAAAAGGGGGGGGGGGGCAAAATGTAATTTTGTGGGGGGCACAAGGGGGGACTGAGGGGCATTTGCCCCCCCCCCCCTCCCCCCCAGCTTATATGTTAAAAAGGCCCTGTCCCAGACGATATCTATATCATTATAGCTTAAAAACATCCTAAAATTAGTAAAATTCCAAAGTTTAGTTGCGAAATATTGTAAAATACGAAAAATATAGCTAGGTCTGTGAAATTAGCAAAGTTTGAGTATTTTAGTATTACGCACGAAAAAATGCACCACTTTCGGTTCAAAAGTGGTGCATTTTTCATATGGCCGGATTTTGAGGGGAGGTGTGAGTAGGTGCGCACCTGCGATATCGTTTTGCACCTCCCCCTGAGAATTTTTGCACCTCCTCTGAAAAGCCATGCACATCCCTTTGCGAAAGTTTCAATCGGATAAATCAAAGTGAAAATGTGAGATGTTTTGGTTGCTTAGGGATCTACACTTCGAAAGAAAGTTTTCTGTAAACTTGAAACAGTGATAGCCAATTCATCTGTGTAAAGTATCCTTTTAATGCAATATTTTGAAAGAAACTTGGCAGTAATTGTAATGGGTTGTACAGTCATAATTCATTAATACACACGTTGTTGACTTTGGCCCGTTCTAAGCCCTAACTTTCCATGGGGATCGTGAGCTAGACTGCTGCACCTCTCCTAAGATTTTTGCCACGTCCTCCCACTATTTCCACCAATTAAAATCCGGCCTTGATTTTTCCGCGCGTAATACTAAACTATTCAAAATTTGCTAATTTCACAGGGCTATATTTTCCATATTTTACAACATTTTGAAACCAAATTTGGCATTTGTACTATTTTATAGATATTTTTTAGGCTATAATGATATATTTTGTTCTTCTTGTCTGGATTAAAATTTGGTTTATAGCTGGAATCATCCATTAACTTCTTATCATGTAAAAAGTGGAATCAATAACCAGGTGATCTTGATACGCGGAAAAGTACTGGCACTAGTTGTCAAATAGAAATCTATTTTAAGATTATAACAACTGAATATCTCCTGTAATACACTTTATTTCGATTCCATATTTTTGTCAGAGCTATAGTTCTCATAACCAAACATAATTACAAAATTTCAACTAGTTTCATAAAGAATAACGAAAGATATAATTGACTGAATACATCAAAATGGATTTCTATTCGGACAACCCTATCTGAGCGCTGATTGGCTAACATACGAACACGAGATCACCTGGAATATAATGACGATTCTTTTTGACGGCCATTTTCAAACGATTCGTATTCCTTATTCTGAAATATTTCTGAAAACAAGTCCCCTCCCTTTCGTCACCGTTTTTTGGTGTCTATTTATCCTTTCTTAAAAAAATATTACCTCCCTGAGAAAAATTGGTCAATAGCGAAGCCATCTTGTTTCCCATCATGGTAGTAAGGGGCTAAGGGCACGCAGTCGTAGAGTGCGACAGGAAAAAACATTTTGTTTTTCTACGCTGATTTCATTATATTTTAGTCATCCTCAGCCATTCCTGCGTATTTTACATATAATAATGAGCTTAAGTATGCATGTAGGACGGGAATGCGACGGCGACAGCAAACAAATTCATTGAACCAAATCAATGAAATGATTGCAGACGAAAACCTAGTGTCGTCAATTATCCATCGTATGAAAATAATACAGTTTAAAGATCAAGATGAACACTGGGTTTATGTCGATTGAGAAAAGTTCTAGGACCCAATTTAAATAGCAGCTGTCCAAGCTTGAAATGTAAGCGTTGTATACAAGACGTGATAATCTGTATTTTGCCGTTGTAAAACAGAGTTAGCTACGGCGACGTCTATAAAACGTCCGTGAGATTTCATGAGTTATTAATTTCTGCACATTTTCTTGCATTAATATGATATTAGCTGTTTTCGTTGCACTTTCGTTCTGCTTTGTTGAAGTTCTTATTAACAGTGGTTCTTTATAATTTTAAAAGTGTGAATTAAGGCGGTTTCTTAACACGTCCCCGTACTGGATTAAGCTTTGCTTATTAAGTTCGCTATTGTATTTGTTAGTAAAGCAAAGCATTTAGAAGTTCTGGAGCCCTAGTTTTACATGTAAGAGACACCCCCCCCCCCCCTCAAAAAAGAAACAATTCGCACCCCACGCCTCTGGAGAAATTCGTTGCATTTCATGAGCGTTTAGTTGCATTACGAGAGTTCCATAAGTTAGTATTCGTTTAATTACTGTCCCTGAGACGAGGCTACTAATGCCGCACGGCTATTTACACCCAGGGAAAGCTAACGAAGGCTGCTAGCGGTTTCAAAAGTGGGATAGTGCATGGGTTGTCATCTCACTGATCTCAAAGGCTGATTGCCACGAGTGGAATAATCCAACTGCCAATATGGAAAAGTCGTTTCACACAATGAGCTGTAAAGCGCTTTTTAAAATTTTACTTTAAAGAAATGACAAGAAGAGATCTAAGATGGGAAATGATGAAATAAAAAGCCACTTTGTTTTGTTTTTTATTCGTAAACCTGGCTGTACGTTGTTTTCTTGTTTTCCACTTGCCTTCTTTATTTCCAAGAGCGAACTGTATGATTGAACTAATTTCGTTGTAAGTAATAAAAAGACTAAGTTATTATAAATAGTTAATCGCCAAAAACTGCCAAACAATTGAAACAGTTGAAACATCATATATAATATAAAGTTAAATCAACATATCGTGAAGCGTTCAAGGTTGAAATTGAATATTACCTTAAATTCAAGCTTATAGAGCGAAAAGTAACATACCTACTTCATATATTTTATAAATCGATAGTTCGATAGTTAAAAGAGTTAAACTTTAAAGTCAAGTCCATTCTGCGCATCGGTTCTGCCACGGTTAATAGGACTATTAACCGTGGTTCTGCTCATAACAATGTGAGGACCCTTTAATGTAAACATTGCCCAAATTTCGAATGTTTCGAATTTTTCTGAACATAAACACTATTTCATATTCATTTAGAAGCATAGCGAACCAAAATGGTGTTAATTAGATATTCGATTTTCAGACAGTACATCATGTAAGTTTACCCTCTCAGCGTAAATAAACACCAAATTGGTGTCCCCACAGAGGCAAGCGGATATACACCAAAGCAGCGTCAAATAACCTAGGATGGTGCAAATTAACACCAAATGGGTGTTCATACAGACACAACTATTTACACTGAAGAGGTGTAAATTAACACTAAAATCAGTGTTAACTGACACCTTTTCGGTGTCCCCACAGAGGCAAGAATTTACACCGATTTTGGTGTTGTGGCAACACTCCCAGATTTACAGTGTATACAGCAGTTCAAAATGTAAACAAACCGTTTGTTTGCATTACGGACTTGACTTCCACTTTAATATTTTTTCCGTTTTGCACAAAATTAAAAACAACCGAAATGACCGTGCATTCGTGTTGCCATGGCTAACATGACGCCAGCAACGCGAGCCTGCATGCGTTCAGTGGTTGCATAATTTCGAATTCTTCATGTTATTAAAAATGTATAATTAAGTGGTGGCCCATGCATCTTCCCTAGTAAACAAGTCCGAATTGTGTAATCTACATGTATTACAGCGATAGATTTAGACTGGCATCGTTGAAATATTTTTCAAATCCGACTACGAGGACTGGACTAGTTTTCAACTCCGTGCAATTTGATCCAGTCTGAGGTGAAGCCGAGTCCAGTCCGAATTGGAGGATTTGGAATGACATCTCATACGAATAAATCACGACTTAATTAAAGTGAGGTGGATTCATTTTGATCCAGTCTAAAGACTGAATTAATTTCGATCGAGTTTTAGGCTGGATCAAAATACTTCACCATGTATCCAGTATTATCATGTATATCAAATAAAGTAATATGGTTGACTAATTCACTCATGAATTGTTAATGAGTTTGAGATGAAAGTAAGAATATTATTATCATTATACATTTTAATCAAGATTCTCAACAAGGACAATTAAGAGCGTAAATGTAATGAAAAAGAAAATTTAGATGAAATTTTTATACAAAATTTCTATAAAATTCTCATTAACAACTCATGATGAAAATTGAAAAGAGATGTACGTGTGTTCAATTGATACTCTGTAATCAATATCGGCCTTCCTTGTAAATCAAACAGAACGGCTGCTCATGCTTTAAAAGTTACGTATAAATTAGCATTTTAGTTGTACCTAATGAATCAACCCATATTTCTTCAGGGATGGCCATTTATTTTAAAATGCAAACTTCAGTGCCTACAATATATTTCAAGGTAATGCTGGCGATTCGTTGGGATCTCACAACGGAATGAAGTTCTCCACCAAAGACAGAGACAATGATCAATGGGGAAGTAACTGTGCTGCATCGTACAAAGGTGGTTGGTGGTATTACGCCTGTCACTCCTCCAACCTCAACGGTCAGTACCACAAGGCAGGTCAGAGATCAACCTCGGGGATTAGCTGGTACTATTGGAAAAGAGACTACAGATCCATGAAGAAAACAGAGATGAAAATACGATCTGCGCAATTTTAGAAAAGTCTCATACGTCAACTTCTTAA